TTGATTTTTATATTATTCTTTGATTAACTATGGCCATTGGTGAAGCTCCATAAGGGTTATGACTATGCTGATGGCTCATTTATTTCATATAGACCCAATGTCAAGCACGGTTTCTATTACATTAGGAGGTTCCCCATAAATGCAGTTGTTTAAATTAAATGAATGAGTGGATGGATCCTGGGATCTAAAGGTGAATCAAGTATGAACCTTGCTCTCCAGGAACTCACAAACTAATGAGAGAAAGGACCAGTGCGTGGTAAGACTAGCATCTGGCTGTCCATAAAGAGAACAAATCCCAGCTGCCTAAGTAATTACTTTTGCTTCAGGATTTGAAACGGTGGTGGGGACTGCTTCTCTGAGAAGGTAACAGTTGAGCTCATTTTTGAAGGTTAGGTAGGAGTTCATCAGGAAGATGGGTGGGACATGGGTGTGCATGTATGTGTCACTATGTGTGCATGTGTGGTTAGAGTCTTCAATGAAAGAGACTGGCACAGTCACCCATCTGGAGAAATACAAAGTCTACTGCCTGAAGGTGGAAAGTATTTGGGATGAATGTGGTATAAAGTATATTTTAGAAAGACAAATCTAGGGGCAGAGGGGAAGATGGATTTAGGGGAAGGTTGACTGGAGAGAAGAGAATAGGGAGACTCGCAGGATGTTTGCTGCAGGAGATGGCAATGCAGTGGGGACAGAGAGCAATGACGAGGACAGAGAGGAGAATGAGGGCAGAGGATAGTTGGGACAATGAGGAGAAGATGTATTTTGAAATAAGACCAATGTGCCTTGGCTGACACTGTAACTGGTGTATATACCTGCCCAGATTTATTCGGATTCTGAGCCCATCTCTTTCTCTTCATCCTCCTCACTCACTTCCTCTGGAAGGTTTTTTCCTCTTTTTCCAGATCTCAACAAAAGTGTTTCAGGCCTCTTCTCCATTGGGTGAAAATTCACTGGAGGGCAGGGATGATAAAGGAGGCAAAAATGCTGTAGTTTCAGGCTGAGGGTATGAGTGGGACATTAGAATTACCCCTTCTCAGGACCAGCAGATTGACTCCCACATGGCTGACCATGGTTCGAGTTTCAGATCTGGTGGCTTCAAACTCACCCCAGGTGTGTGTGTTTGTGTGCCTAAAATCCAGAGAGGAGAATGGAGGAGAAGGGATTATGGTGTGTATGGTGTGTCCATCCTCCCTGCGGGGTGATTTCTTGCTTTCTGTCTCTCTATCTCTCTGTCTCTCTGCCGAGTGCATGCACTCTAAAGCACACATAAAAAAAAAAAAAAAAAAAAAATCCCTATTAAAAAAACAAAACAACAACAACAACAAAAAACTCACACTGGGCACACTTCATGTATGCCCAAAATCCTGAGAGGAGAATGGAGGAGGAGGAGAAGGGATTGCTGTGTGGCCATTCCACCTGAGGGGTGATTTTTTTTTTTTAACTGTGTATAAGACTACTTTATTACTGACAGTGCTTTCCAGACAGAGTTACCAGAAAAAAAAAAAAAAAAAAAAAAAGACTGCTTTTAAAGGCTTCATACAAAGGCTACATGCAGTTTTTTTAATGATAGGAGTTGGGGGAACCAGCAGTTAGTGTAATGGCTATGTCGCTGGACTCCCACGTAGTCGACTGCAGTTCGCGTCCTGGACCCGGTGGCTTAAAACTCACGCCGGGTGCGTGTGCATGCGTGCCCAAGATCCCGAGAGGAGAATGGAGGAGAAGGGATTGCAGCGTGACCATCCCCCTGGGGGGTTATTTCTCGCTTTCTGTCTCTCTGTCTCTGTCTGGCGAGTGCACGTGCCCTATAGTGAAAACCTCTCAAAAAAAAAAAAAAAGAATAATAATTAAAAAAAAGAGTTGGTAGGTAAATAAGGTTTTTTCCCATTCCTCTCTTTTTTCTTTCTTTTTAAAAATTTGTTATCATCATAATCTTGCTTACATTACATTGAATTGCATGTAACTTTACAGTGTATTACATTGCTTTTTCAAAAGGGAATGCCATGCATGTCAGTCAATACAGAGACATTAATCTCCCCCACTTCATCATTCAATATCTTTTCGTTGTTTTTCCCGATCATTATTATTATTTTTCCAATTATTTTTTTAAACAATCACTATTTCTCATTTTGCTTATAAAAAGACTTTACCCATTATGAAATACTTCTTAGACCAGTCCAGTTGAGAATACTATACACGTCATTATCAATAGGTAATAAGCCATATCTGTGTCCCACCTGGGGGGTGATTTTTCACTTTCTGACTCTCTGGCAGGCATATATGCCTTATAACAAAAATCTCTCTTTAAAAAAAATTGCTCCTTTCCCTCGAAATTATTTCCACATCCCTGGGGGTACAGTTTTTTCAGAAGGAACACATAGAAGGTGCTCTCTTCTGGTATTAGGTGAAAGTTTAGGTGCAGACCATGTGGCTAATGCCAGAGGCTCTATTTTTTCCTACTGTCACCAACTTTTAAAATAAGACAGGGGGATGGATTAGGGGAACGCATCCACAGCAAGGACTTTACATTGCGATCCTGCCCCTAGCCTCAGCCAGCCAGGATCATGGGCACCCACGAGTGCCCAGCATACACATGGAGGCCTTGGGATGCTAACTCAGGGCCTTCCCTATGGCCTCAGCACCAGGGAGCATTGCGTTAACTGCTTTGTCACTGCATCTGATCAACTGTCGCCAACTTTCTAAGGACAGAGAAATCTAAACTACAGGGGTGATTACCCATCTTAGGCCCTGCAACTCCACAATGTTCCCACCCCGATGTGAGAATGTCTCACATTGTGAAAACCTTTGTGAAAGATGGGGCCTCTGTCCCCATGGATGTCAACCCATGGACAATGTAGGAGCCTCCAAATTGAGAATGCTTGCAGGAAAAAGAAAAAGTCTAAGGTGATTTTTCAATTCTCTGGAAGTTTTAGCCCTATCTCTTTCTTCTGTAAAAAAATAAATTTAATCGTGTATGTTTGATGTTTATAGTGTTATGGGACACATATAGAAACATACAGAAAGTATTACAGATATATAGACATTTGTATTTCGCATAGTTACTTTTTTGGTGACTAGAGTAGTAAAATACATAACAAAATTTTAGCTATTCCCAATATAGTACAATTTCATTAACTTTGGTTCTCATGTTGTACATTAGCTCTCCAGACTTGTTCGTCCTACATATCTGATATGAGAGTACTTCAGAAATTCCTGGAAGCTTTGGGTCTGAGCTACCCTGGATGTGTTCTGATTCTGAGCCCTTTTCTTTCTCTTCCTCTGGCAGATCTTCCTCCTCCTTCAGATCTTCCTGGAAAAAGTCTTAAATGGAATTTAAGTCTTAAGTGGAATTAAAATAGAGGTTTGCTCTGGTGCAAAAATATTTAAAACCATGTACTTTCTTATCAAACAGAGCAATGAGATGGAGTGGTGACCAGAAAGATCCTCTGTTGACTGGGTAGTTGGCAAAGGCCCCTCTGTGAAGGTAATACTTGCACTGAGACTGGAGTGGAGGAAAATGCCAACTGTTATGGGTTGAACTGTGCCACAAGAGTGAAAGTTCCAGCCCCAGTACCTCAGAGGATTCGGCCAACCATGTATCATTAGGTGAGATGAGGTCACACTGACGTAGAGTGGATCTGTAATCCAGTATGATGGGGTCCCCACGAAAAGGGGAAATTTAGACAGCACACAGGGAGATGCCGTGAGATGAAGGCAGAGATCTGCAAGTCAAGTAATGCCGAAGATTGCCAGTACACCCCCAGATGCTAGGACAGAAGGATGGAACAGACTTCACATCCCTTACAAGGAGTCATCTTGACCTTAGCCTTCTAGCCTTAAGAACTGTAAGGCAGTATATTTCTGAATGATTTCTGATGCTTAAGCCACTGAGTATGTGATGCTAGTTTCAACAGCCCTAGCAAACTACTAATAATACACCAGCCTTGGAAAGTGATGGGCTGGGAATGAGGGATTTTTGGCAGAGGAAACAGCAAGTACGAAGGTCCTGAGGCAGGAACTGTATTAACCACCTAACTCACTGTATGGCAGAGGCTCCTTGAAAAATTCATGGAAAATATGTATTATGAAAACTATGGATTTAGTCATTTTTTGCACTGGGACCAGCAGGTGGCATGGTGGTTAAGGCACTGTACTCCCACATGGCCAACTGTGATCAACTCCTGGACCTGGTGGCTTGCTTTCTCACTTTCTTTCTCTGTCTCTGGTGAGTGCATGTGCTCTACAGAAAATTTTAAAAAATAATAATAAATAAAATTAAGTAATTAAACAAAATAATCTTTTGCACCAAAATAAACTTATACTTTAGTTCCATTTCCCATGAACCTTTTGAAGCTCTTGATGTTGTAATGATTTGTTTTTGTTTTTGTTTTTTGTTATAGGGGGTGTGCACTTGCTGGAGAGACAGAGAGAGAGACAGAAAGGAGGAATCACCCCCCCCCCGGGGGGGGGAATGACCATGCTGCAGTTCCTTCTCCTCCGTTCTCCCCTTGGGATTTTGGGCTGAAATGCATATGCACCCAGTGTGAGTTTTAAGCTGCCAGGCACAGGACTTGAACCATGGTTGACTAGGTGGGAGTCCAGCAACGTAACCATTATGTCATCTGCTGGTCCCTGTTTTCTTAAGTGTCCTTTTATCTTATATTATCAGCTTCTCATAAACAAGGACAGTGTCTTATTCATCTTTATTCCTCTGTGTTTAACATACCGCCTGCAAAGACAGGTGTTTGTAACATAGGGGCATATGTGTTTAAACTATGAACATGTTCCTTTAGCTATCAACCTTCCTTACTGCTTAGGGTGCAGCTTGCTATTCTCCAGTTCATCCCATCAGTTGGTTCTCAAGCCCTCAAGGATTTTGTCTTTAAAACCCACATACACATATCTTACTAGGACATTTAAGGTGGTTTGATTAGTTTGTCTTTACTAGAAAATCGGTGTGTTTTCACTAGACATAAACTAAAGAAGAGAATATTTCTTTGCAGCCTGCAGGACTTGAGTTGGGAACTGTGAGATCGTTGGATTTTGAGAGGCGAAGTGTTCAGATGAGGTCTGAAGATGAATAGTAATAGCTGGTATGTATTGAGTACTTCCTGTTTGCCAAGCATCTGGCTAGGTGCTTTATATGAATGATCTCTCTGATCCTCATAGAAATCGTACCAACAATTAACCTCTCCATTATGCAGATGAGCAAACCAGGGATCAGGAAGTAACTTGGTGATGGTCTCACATGTGGATGTGCTGAATCTGGTCTGTGATTTGGACCCAGGCCCCTTGATGCTGATGGCTAAGCTTTGACCTTTTATCCGGTGACCATCATTTGCCATTGCAGGATCATGGTAGGTGATTTCAAATTTAAGAGTTCAAATTTGAGGGACCAGCAGTTGGCATAATGGCTCTGTCATTGGACTCCCATGTAGCAGACTGTGGTTCGAGTCGCAGACCCAGTGTATGTGTGTGTGTGTGCGTGCCCAAGATCCCAAGAGGAGAATGGAGGAGAAGGGATTGTGGTGTGGCCATCCCCCCCAGGGGGGTGATTTCTCGCTTTCTCTGTCTTTCTGGTGAGCGCACACGCATAGAAATCGTACCAACAATTAACCTCTCCATTATGCAGATGAGCAAACCAGGGATCAGGAAGTAACTTGGTGATGGTCTCACATGTGGATGTGCTGAATCTGGTCTGTGATTTGGACCCAGGCCCCTTGATGCTGATGGCTAAGCTTTGACCTTTTATCCGGTGACCATCATTTGCCATTGCAGGATCATGGTAGGTGATTTCAAATTTAAGAGTTCAAATTTGAGGGACCAGCAGTTGGCATAATGGCTCTGTCATTGGACTCCCATGTAGCAGACTGTGGTTCGAGTCGCAGACCCAGTGTATGTGTGTGTGTGTGCGTGCCCAAGATCCCAAGAGGAGAATGGAGGAGAAGGGATTGTGGTGTGGCCATCCCCCCCAGGGGGGTGATTTCTCGCTTTCTCTGTCTTTCTGGTGAGCGCACACGCCCTATAGCAAAAACGTCTCCAAAAAAAAGAGTTCGAATTGAAAAAAACAGACTGTACAATCTGCCGTGGATAAATAAATAACATTATGGACTGTTGATACATGAAAACATTTTCAAGGTTTCCATAGGAATCCTGGGATGATTATTTCCTCAACTTAAAAAGAAAAAAAAATGTATCTACACGCATATCTGTTATATACCATATATATGTTAAAAACTAAACTGTGTATGAAAACAACACCCTGATCTAATTCAGATACTTTATTATTATTTACATTAGAGCACGTGTGTGCACATGAGACAGATAGAAGGCGAGACAAGCACTCTCCGTAGGGTCTGGGCATGCTGCACTCCCCTTCTGCCAGATTCCTAGTCTGTTGGATCTTGGGCATGCAATTCATGTCCCCTGCGGGGGATTTAAACCAGGTCCCCAAGTGGGATCTGGTTTCTCTAGAGCAGTGCATTACTGCTACATTATAGAGCTAGTCTCTAATTTACACACTTTTAAAAAGTTAACTTAAAAGTATTATCGAAGGACCAGCAGATGGCATAATGGTTAAGTAGCTGGACTCCCATGTAGATGACCACAGTTCGAATCCCAGACCCAGCAGCTTAAAACTCACACTGGGTGCGTGTGCATGTGTGGCCAAAATCCTGAGAAGAGAATAGAGAAGAAGGGATCGCAGTGCTGCCATGCCCCCTGTGGGGGTTGGGGGTGGGGGCGTGATTTCTTGCTTTCTGCCTGTCTCTCTCTGTTTCTCCACGAGCACATGCACCCTATAGCAAAAATCTCTCTTAAAAAAAAGCATTATGATATCTTTATATTTCCTCGTTGTTATTTAGGATTGTGACGTATAAATGAGACTTCACAGTATACACTTCTTGAATCTAAAAGTGACCACTGTTTTCAGACAAGAGGAAAAGAAACTAATGTCTGAGGCAGGTGGTTCATCACTGTCCTGTCTTTCACTGACCAGTGGGTTTTGTGTGTGCTGGGGTACCCACACAGCGCATGGGTGCTGGTGGATCATTTCTCCCAAGGATGCCTACAGTGTACTGTCCCAAGTGTTGGAACTGTGTCAGTGAACAGGACAGGCAGACCCTCTTCTTGCCCTGGAGCTTACATCCTCACTGGAGAACAAAGGCAGTAACTCAGTCTGTGAATTCAGTATGAAGTACACCCAGTGGAGCAATTGTAAGGTGAAAAATACAGCAGGGAAGAGGGAGAGTGCTTTGAGGGGCAGATTGCAATTTAAGATAGACTAATCAGGAAGAGACCTCACTGTAAAGGAGATTTTTCTGTAACTTTCTCTGTATTTAAATAATAATTTTCTTGTAATTGGCAGTTTATGTGTAATAGTTGTACATCTTTTTGGGGTACAGGGTGGTTTTCCAAAGCATGCATACCGTATGTAATGATCAAATCAGGGCAATACACATATTCACCGTCTCCAGTGTTTATCATTATTTTCTGTTATATACGTTCGAGATCTGCGCCTTGGGCCAACAGGTGGCATGCTGGTTAAGACAGGCAGAGCCCATATGGCCAGCTTCCGGGTTCCAGTCCTGGACTTGGAGGCTTGAGAAACATGCCAGGAGGGTGTGTACACGTGCCCAGAATTCTGAGAGGAGAATGAAGGAAAAGGGATTGCGGTGTGGCCATCCCTTCTGGGGAAGGATGATTTCTCACTTTATCTCTCTTCCTCTCTCCGCTTGGTGAGAGCACATGCCCTATAGCAAAAATCTAAAAACATCAAACAACTGCTATTCCTTGTCGTTGTTGTTTTTTTAATTGCTGGGGAGTGCGTGTGCTTGCCAAAGAGAAAGTGCTACCCAGTGGGGCCTAGTCATGCTGTAGTCCTTGTTCCTCTCTCCTTTCCGTCAGGATTTTGGGCACACTCACATGCAAAGCATGTTTTTCAAGCCACTGGGGCTGGGATTCAGATGGTAGTCAGCTTTCTATGCACAGAGCTTAACCACTGTGCTATAGGGCCAGCGCTCAACCGCTGCTCTTCTGGCTATTTTGAAATATATTTTGAATTGGCACTAACTTTCTTTAGAGTGCTGTAGTATTCTATAAACCATTGAAAACCACCTGAGAAAGGTAGGAGCCTTGTGTGGGTGGGGAAGTGTTCTAGGTGCCTGAGTGGAATGGCTGGAGGGGCCTGGGCACAGAGGACTTGGTGGAGATCAGGTCAGAGAGATCATGGAGGCAAGGGAGGGCAAGAGCCTAGGAAGACATGTAAGCTGTGTAAGGACTTGGGTTTTTGCCCTTGGTGATATGGTAGTGAAAAATCCCCTTGACCTGAGCACCTAGAAGGATGGACTGCCCACTCACAGAAGTGGCCTTTTTTTTAAAAAAGAGATTTTTGCTATAGGATGTGTGCACATTCTGGAGAGACAGAGACAGCAAGAAAAAAAAAGCAAATCACCCCCCGGGGGGATGTCTATGCTGCAGTTCTTTCTACTCCATTCTCCTTTTGGGGTTTTGGGCATGCACACACATGCTCCTGGAGTGACTTTCAAGCCACCAGGTCTAGGACTTGAACTGTGGTTGATGATGTGGGAGTCCAGTGATGTAACCATTACACTGTCTGCTGGTCTGCAGAAATGGCCCTTTATTTTTATTTATTTATTTATGTATTTATTTATTCATTTTTTTGGAGAGGTTTTTGCTATAGGGCGTATATGCTCTCCAGAAAGAGAGAGACAGAGAGAAAGAAAGTGAGAAATCACCCTCGGGGGAAAGACCAAGCCATAATCCCTTTTCTTCCATTCTCCTCTTGGGATCTTGGGCACACACGCACATGTGCCCAGTGTGAGTTTAAGCCACCGGGTCTAGGACTCAAACTGTGGTTGACTACGTGGAAGTCCAGCGACATAGCCATTATGCTAACTGCTGGTCCCAGAAATGGCCCTTTATTGAAATAAGAGTTGGGGGGATATAAGAGCTCATCTAAGGGCCTGAGGTGCCCCTTAGGCATCCTCGCAGAGAGGCTGAGTAAGCTGCTGAATGTAAAAGTCTATTTCCAAGACGGAGATGCACATTGGAGAGTCAATAGCCTGTCGACTGCATTTAAATCCATGAAATGGGGGTCATCAGGTGGCGTGGTGGTGAAGGGCCTGGACTCCCACATAGCTGACCACAGTTAAAGTCCCAAACCTGGCGGCTTGAAAGTCACACCAAGCACATGTGCATTGCATGCCCCAGATCCCAGGAGAATGGAGGAGAGGGAATTGCTGCATGGCCATCCCTGCCAGGGTGACTTCTCACTTTGCCTCTCATTGTCTCTCTCTCTGGCAAATGCACGCACCCTATAGCAAAAGCCTTAAAAATAAATAAATAGATAAATCCATGAAATTGGAGAAAAGCACTAAGAGAGCATAGACAAAGAGGACTAAGTGCTGGGGCACTCAGAGAGCTGGGGACATGCCAGCGAAGTAGCAAAGCAGCAGCCAGAAATAGAGGACATCTGTAGAGAGTATTATCTTAGAAACCCAAGTGAAGGGAAGGTTTTACGAGGAGAGCATGTGAACTCTGTCAGATGCTGCTGATCGGTCAATTAAGATGGCCAGAACTGCCGTCTGGGTTAGCCCTGGCCGCTGGAGGTCGTTGGTGCAATTGCATTGGAAGCTGGCTGCTGATTAATGCCAGCTGTCAGGGCTTTTCTCAGCCCAGTGGACGTTGTGTGCGCAGTTGTATACCCCGTGGCTTAGGTTCAACTTTTTCCCATTTTACATCCGCGTAAAATTGTTTCTGCACACCTGCCCTTGTAGCTACGTGGCATTACAGCTGAAGGAGGTTCTGGTGCAGAGATTTAAGCACCGGGGCAACAATTCCAGGGCTGTGAATGGCCAGCCTGGTGTGTTTGCCGCACCTGGCCTGTGTACCGAAAGTCATAATGGATCAGTTCTGGGCCATAGAGAGAATGGCTCCATCCTTGTCTCTCTAATACCGTATTATTGCTGATAACCTCATTAAGCACGGATGGGATACCGTGTTTTGGTGTTCCTCAGATCGGGGTTTGAAGCCCACTCTTTGCTAGCCCTATGACTTTGGACAGGTTAATTCATTTCAGCGAACCTCAGTTTCTTCATCTGCAAAATGGGATAAGAATAGCACTCTTCAGAGCCGTGAAAATGAACTCTGTGAAAATGAAGCCGCTACTTGCCTATAAAGCACTTTGCACAATGTCAGTGTGCAGTCAATGTTCCATACATGGCACCTTTCAGGATTATTAGGAAATTGGGACGGTAGTTTCCAGGGTATCATTCTTCCTAAAACCATTTCAAAAAGATGTTTAATTAATGCCATTGCCTGGGGTTTATTTAT